CAAACGAGTACGGCCGTGGTGCGCTACGTGCGCAACCACTTCACCCTTGGCCGTAGCACCGCGAACATGAATAATCCTCCGAACATTTAAGGTAAACTAAACATGACATTGTATATAAAAGCTAAACATGCGAGAATGGTTCGGAGAAAAATAACTTGAAACATGAAATGACGGTACGGGTACGCATGCACGCCAATAATGAAATTAACTAAGTAAGCATGCTACTCTCGGCCAAACTCCATTAAGACGACTAAGTTCACCCGAATACTTAAGTTCATTTAAACATGATATTGCATATAAAGGCTAAGCATGCAATAATGGTCGGAGGAAAAATAACTTGGAACGTGACATGATGGTACGGCCATGGCTACGGCTACGCACGGCTATTAACATAAATGCGCATGCATGACAATTAAATCTAATCTTAATTAAACATGATATTCTCGGACAACAATCGACGGGAACTTACCTCTTATAAAGCTTACAGACTAAACTCTCGAACTCCCGAGCTCTCGGCCGTGCCTCCGCGTGCGTGGTGTGGTACTTGGGATACGCGATACGGACTCGCTGCTCGCGTACGGGACTTGCTACGCGTGACGGGCTGCTGCTACGCCCGATGGCTCTCGGATGCACGGACGGACTCTCGGCGGAATTCACGAGCACACTCCCAAAAATCACAATGCACTCACAATATCACTCGAACACTCTCGGCACTCTCTCGGCACTTGCTAATGAAATGGAGTAAAATGCTCCAAAGTCTCCCAAGTCTCACTTAAAACCGAAGGAGGGCGGAGAAAATGAGGGGGGAATATTGGTCTCATGCACGTGAATGTGCCAAGGAAAAAAAAATGTGCTCTGTCAAGCTCCTCTTACATGTGCACGAAAAATACAAAATGCACTAGAGGACAAAGTGCACCAACACCCATGCACAAGAGGACAAGGAGACAATGGGCACGGCATTCATGGTCAATGGGACAAGGCACCTTGGACACTCCGCACGGCATAAGGGAAAAGGACATGGAGGGCGCGCGGATTAACACGAGCCTTGGACACTCCGCCCATGCAAAATCCCACGGCACTCATGGACAAAACGCACGCACGGTCCTCATGACTTGGGTGGAAGAATCTCTTGACTACACATGCACACCACTCACGGCAATTGCATGGCATTATGCATGAGTTTGATCCGAACACTCCCACGTACAACTAACTCGCACGGCACTTGAACATGGTCTCGAACAAAGCACCTCAAACACATGGCAAAATGCATGACTTGAACAAAAATATGCTAACACTTGCACGGCATTTGCGAACAATGCACGACTATGAACATGAACTCGGAATAAAATCCGAACAATTACTAATCTCGTGATTAAGTTAAATTAATCACTTAATTATGTTTAATTTTCCAATTAAACATAATGCTAAATTGCCAAAATTATTTCGAACGTAAACGGTACGTCGAAAATATTTTCCGGTAATTCTGACTGAACTGACTGAAAATAATTGATTCCGAAAAAATAATATCGGAACTAAAATATTATTATACTGATAAAAAGTCGGGATATTACATAAATATTTTATTTATAAAATTTTACAAAAAGCGTACTCTGATTTTCATGAAATAGCGGGGTGTTACACGTCGAATTCCGCCAGAGCTCCAAACGTAGCCGTCGAGTCCCGTCGAGTTCTGTCGGAGTGCCAACCGTAGCCATCGAGTCCCATCGGAGCTCACGGACAGTCGTTTCAGCCCCGTTCGGCCCTTTTCCCTGCTCGTTTAGAGTAATTTTCTCGAGAATGGTATTCTTTTGAGCCCGGGCTGAATTTATATTGTTGCTCAATATTATCAAATCAAAATATGTGATAATTCAAGTGAAAATCATAAGATTTTATTGTTCTATCGTGTTTAATAAGACCGAGTTGGACCTCGGACAACGTGTTTTTCAATATATCAAATGTGTAAGTCTTAAAGTAGTGATATCGAGGCTTGCTTAACGTGTAAATTACGTGGTTTCGAGGCTATATTGTTGTACGAACGTTTTGAGTTGTTAAAGGCATGAACACCCAAATTTCGAGCCTCAGTTGTGCTCTGTTTTTGTCGACCAATAAGTTGTTTCTTGGACAAGTGTTCTTGAGTTTTGTAGTGCTTTGAGTTAGGTTTCAGTGAGTTTTGGAATCTTGTGATTTGAATTTGAAAAGAATTTTAGATGAATTTTCAAAACAGACAGGCATGCAGCTTTTATAAACTTGGGCAGAGACGTTGACCTTAATTCATGGCTATTTTGTATTATCTTAACGTGCCTGAATGAAAATGTATTCTTCACAACAAATGTAGTATATGTTTTAAGCTGCTAGTGAAAGTTAGTTATGCAATTTGAATGTACAATTGATTTTATATGATTTTTCTAAGTGGGATGTACACCCTGTTTTTTTGAAACCAGGGTCGTGTTTAAGTGTTGAATGTGTGCTCTGTTTTGATGACACGAACGTGTCCGTATAAAAAAGTTCTCTTCATAACAGTTGTATATTTCCATGTGTAGATTATGTAGGATTTGATTTTGTATGAATTGTAGTTGTGTAGCCTGAGTTGCTGCCATTTTACTAAGGTGTTGTATATTCGAAAAGTTAATCTCTGGCAGATTTCTTGACCTAAGTGTTTTATGCTGAAACTCGGTTTCAAAGTTATTGTAGGCTTACGTGATCTACCTAAAAGTTGTGGATATATGTGTTAGCTACTCATTGGTTTTGGAATCACCTGAATAGCATGCTTGTAGCTCCTGTTATCTTGGAAATACTGAGACTATATGAATTGTTCATTTTCATTTCTGGACTGCAACTATGTTTTGTGTTGTTGTTGAATTAATTATGTGACGAGGTCAGAATTGGTTAAAGTTGTTTGCATAAAACTTGTAGCTTTATTTGTTATCTTTTTATAAGTACCTGATTCATATTTTTAGCATGACTATAGCTCGAGTTATCCTCAAAATGCCGCCACCTTGTTTGACCGTGTTGACTGCACCTATGTTTTGGATGTTTGCTGTATTATGTGCATTTAAATGATTTTACCTGCCTGAGTGTTCTTCATGAAAGTGATATAGGCATGAGTTAGGGATATTTCCAAGTGGTTTCATCATGATATGATCTGTAGACTGGAAGCTACATGCATTTTAAATTCATCGTGCATGCTGAAAATTGGTGCAAGTTCATCTTTAGGTTTCTAAATTGAATTGTATTGTTTAAACGCTATGTGGCATAACTGAACCATGTCATGCTATGTGATTTTTATATGATCCTTCAATGTCCTAAGCTTTAAAAGTTAATCCAAGATATCCATCAACGGAAAAGACTTATACATAAAACGTTTTCAAAGCAAGGCGAAGCCAAGCGACCTAGTCTTCAAAGCTTATGTATATGTATAAGACTAGTTAGTTTAAGTTAATCCTTGATAAAGTTCTAAGAAATGTTCCAACAAATTGTAGTTTTTGAGGAATCGAGCCTCACTCTTTTTCAAGTACAAGCTAAAGCTGAGCATTTCGATCGGGTGGATTTACTTATAATCGTGTTTATGCCTTGAATTGTGAAATTTGTTTACTTACTTGGGTATGATCAAAGTATGAAATGTGAACATGTGACCTTCAGCGTGAGCAGTACCGGCCGTCGAACGGTATCCCCGTAGTTATAGAACGTATCCCGAGTGGGTAATCCCCTCTTTGTCCTTCGCGAGGACCTTGGCATGAGCCTTGGTCGGTGATGGATTTCCTGCCTAAAACCCTCGGGGTTGCCAGACCTGTCTAATACCCTCAGGGTTGACAGTGGACTTCCACCTAAAACCCTCGGGGTTAACGGATGACTCTCCTACTTTGGCAACGTTAGAGTTCTCGCGGGGAGCGATACATGGACCAAATGTAGTCTATTCTGATAGGTGTGCACATGAGATATAATCGAATCTGGATAGGAGATGAGAAAATTTATTGTCTATGTTCATACTTGTGACCATGCCATATTTATTATCTGTACTCACTTATTATAACTGTTCATGTATATAACGATGAGCACAACGAATCCCATCTGTGCTCATCCCCACCTGCTCTTCATGGATGCAGGTTGAACCGGCGGCTGCATGGCGGCGAGAGACGAGTGGTGGTCGGTCGTTTGGCCGGACCTCATTATGTAGCTTCCGGTTTTCTATATATTATGATTATTTGTCATCATGTTGAACTCGGGATTTGTGTTACATTTAAACATTGGGTTTTATTTGCATGATTTTGCCTCTGGGTAATTATGACCTTGGATTTCGATCTCTGGATTATCTATGATTCGAGAAATTCAAACACTGGTTTGGGGAGATGCCCCGTTTCCTAATAATCGTTTTCGGAACATTGTTCAAAACCCTGTGAGGGTGGTTTCGATTTGACTCTAGATATTCGATGATGCTTAAATTACGTGCGAGTAATTGATATGTGAAAATTCGTAAACGTTGATTATATGTCGAGTAACACCAGACGATTTATGAAAAGAATTTCGAAAAATTTCCGTTGACTTTCAAAAAGTCCTTGACTTTCATCAAATAAAAGTGGGCGTTACAATAGTTAAGTTTGAATAAAATTAGTATGGTTAGTTGTTAGTGGATATATTAAAATAATATTTAAATTAAAATAATTAAAGTTGATTTGATGTAAAAGTATGAGAAAATGATTGGAAGTGATGGTTAGTTAAAATTATGTGAGTGGATGAATAGTGAATTAAAGTTGATGTGATGTGTAATAATGATTTGTTGATATTATTTAATTATGGGTTAATTGCTAAATAAACCATAACCTTTTTGCGTTTGACAATTTTATCTCAATCTTTGGGTAATTGCAATATAATATCGACCTCAATTTACTTATTGCAAATTTGGGTGTAGAGTGATTGATTTTAGGGATTTGTGGATCGATTTTGTGTCCAAGTCTTCCATTGACACAATTTCCACATATTTAATGTATATCTACGCACAAAGACGAAAATTCCACGTCAATGTAAGCTACCGGTGATGAGTCTCCTCCTAGATCTGGAGTGAACAGGGAAAAATGAGCTCCGATCTGTTCGAACCGCCTTCAAATCGACCATTTTTTTTAAGGTCCAACTGATTTTAGGTTCAACTTGCAATAAGTAAATTGAGGTCGAGATTATATTGCTATAACCCAAAAATTGAGATAAAATTGTCAAACGCAAAAAGGTTAAGGTTTATTTAACAATTAACCCTTTAATTATGTTGATAATATTGGAGATAGTGGAGTTGAGTTAAAGTTGAGTTAAATTTAAGTTCTGAGTGAGATATTTGTAGGTAAACTGAGACAAAATATATTTTGTCGTACAGAACTAATCGGAGGTTCGATCAAGACGTGCAGCATATCTAGACGACCATCTCGACGAGAGCTTTCCAACGCCACCGAGATCGCAGCCGTATGACTTCTCATGCGCCCGCACGCGCCGCCGTAAGGTCCAAGGCTGCAAGTTTTGTCTTCATCCGTTTTCACCCATTTGATGCAGTTTTTGATCCGATCTTATTCGTGCAACCCTAGGATGCTATTTGCAGTCAACTATTCATTGGTGTTCTGTGTACAGCCATCCAGAAAATCAGCCGATTCGCCATAAATTTTAAGCCGTAAGTTCTCTACGCAAACCTTTAGATCTGCTGCATAGGTTTACGTTTTGCTATTGAATTCGTGAACATAACGAGATCCTCATAGATCCCAACAAGTGGTATCAGAGCACTTAGTTTAGTTCGTTGTGTACAAGTTCGAATTTTTACAGATTTATTTCTCAAGATGTGTTCAAACGCAGTAATATATTGGACTATATTCGCATAACTCGGTTTTGCAAGAATTAGTTTAATCCACTATTATGGTTGACTATGTGTTTAATGAATGTTGATGAATGTGATGTATGGTTTTAAATATGTTTTAAAGCCTCGGACATGTCGAGGAATTTGATGGATGAATGTTTGTAATAATTATTCGCCCGGGGGTTGACCAGATAGATTTAATTATTTTGTTTAGAAAACATGTACATCCATTCGTTGGATCTAGAATCGGATTATGTAATTTTTTAAATTATAGTTTTCGTGTTGTAATCGTGGATTAATTGCCGGGAGATTACAAGAGATCAATGAGCCTCGAAAAATCATCCGGACTAGAGCCCGGAGACCGCGCGAACTCGCGCAGAAGAAAAAAAAAATGGCGCCGACAGTTTTTCACCGGCGACGGCGGCGGCAGCTAGGCGGTGATGTTTTTACTTGGTGGCCAAGCAATATGATATCAACAAGTATTCTACTGCAGTGAGAGTTCCAGTTGAGCAGAGAAAGAATATACAAGGTTTCCTTGTTTATAGGAGTTCAATATTTAATGGCCATAATAGTGGATTTAATTATTTATTTATTTAAATTCATTATGCCATTAATTATTTATTTATTTATGCATGTTAATTGATTATTGTATTTGCATGGGATTAATTTGGAATTGCATATTTATTTATGCATGTTAATTAATTATTGCATTTACATAGGATTAATTTAGAATTGCATAAATATTTAAATAAGTAAAAATCCTCATTTAAATTATACTAAGTTTGAGAAAGGATTTTAAATTAAATTTAATTGTAAAATTCCTAAGGCCTCCATTTCTAATTTGTCGGTAAATCAATTAATTGCGGATATGGGCTCCCCCTCGGGTGACATCGCTAAAATTAATTGTAGGTAATTACCAGGATAAATTTCTAAATTAGACGATTAGAGGGAGTTTTATGAGAGAGTATGGGCTTCCCCTCAGATGACATATAATCAAATTCGTATAAACTTAGGATCGAGAAATGGGATTCACTTAGAATGCGATTTATTTATAACTCTCCTCGGGGTCCCTAAATTTATTGCATGGCCAAATGGAGAACGACTATCAATTTCGTTCGCCATGAATTTGGTTTTGACTTATGGAAATTAATGGGCCTTTGATAGTCCCTCTCTTGCGAATGTTGAGTTATGTAGGGTTACCCTCGTATCATGCATTAACTCTCGGTGATTTGAGATGTCGGTGAATTTAAGTTAATATTGTTCTGAGGATGCCAATATTAGCAGTTAAACTCAAATGTGTTTAATTTGTAAAATTATTTTCGTGTTTCTAAGATATCCATCATGTTGTTCAATCCCTTATCTGTCATTCTAAAAGAAAATCAACTTACTGGTCCTAATTACATTGATTGGAAGAGGAACTTAGACATTGTGTTGACTGCTGACGGTTATAAGTTTGCGATTACTGAGGCTTGCCCAGCAGAGCCCGCAGCTGATGCTCCTGAGCAGGAGAACGGGGAGTATGCCCGGTGGAAAAAGGCTGATGAGATGGCGAAGTGTTACATTCTGGCATCTATGTCAAATGTTCTTCAACATCAGCATCAGTCAATGAACACTGCGGCAGACCTACTTCTCAATCTCATGAATCTGTTCGTACACCAGTCTAGGGCTGCTAGGCAAGAGGCTATGAGTGCTCTGATGGATACGCGCATGGTAGAGGGCACACCCGTAAGGGAGCATGCTCTCAAGGTTATGGCACTGCTCAATGAGCTTGAGGTTATGGGAGGTTTTATCGACGGGGAAACCCAGGTTGATATCATGCTCCAATCTCTGCCGAAGATCTTTGATCAGTTCCGGTTGAACTACAACATGCACAAGATGCATATGGCTCTTCCAGAACTACTAGCAGAGCTTCAGTCGGCGGAGGCCTTATTCACTCAGGGGCCTCACGCACTGGTTGTCGAGCAGGCTGGACATTTCAGGCCTCACAAGGGCAGGAAGAGAAAGAAGTCTGCAGGAAGGCAAAGGTTCAGGATGCACAGGTGGTCCAGCGACCGCCCCCTCAGGCTGTGGCAAAAAAAGCCGAAAGGTAGATGCCACAAGTGCAATAAGTCAGTACACTGGAAGGTCGACTGCCCTCTCCTCAAGAAAGGTAACTCTCTCGTTAATGTCGTAGAAACATGTTTAGCGGTTGTATCTACCAGAACCTGGTGTGTAGATACTGGAGCCACTGATCATGTCTGCAATTCAGTGCAGGGGTTCCAGGAAACCAGGCGACTTAGGAAGGGAGAAATCACCGTCAACGTGGGCGATACTACGAAAGTGGCGGCTATTGCAGTGGGAGACGTTACTTTATCTTTTGATAGTAGTATTTTGGTTTTGAGACATTGCCTTTATGTTCCTAGTTTTAGAAAGAATCTTGTTTCAGTTTCTAAACTTGTTTCAGATGGATTTTTCTTTACTTTTGATGACATGGTTGTTATTCGTTATGGAAGGCATTTTATTTGTTCTGGTTCATTAGTTGGCAATTTGTATGTTCTTAAACCAAACTCTCACACACTGCAACAAACTGAATTGAATAATGTCGTGACTAAATCTAATAAAAGGAAGGAATCTTCGAGTATGAATCAAGCATATATTTGGCACCTTAGACTTGGGCACATCAACCTTAGAAGGATTCAAAAGTTAGTGGCCAGTGGACTTCTCGGTCCATTGGAAGAGCACTATCCAACTTGCAAATCATGCCTAGAAGGTAAGATGGCTAAGAGGCCATTTACGGAAAAGGGGTATAAGAGCCAAGAAGTGCTAAGATTGATTCATTTTTATTTGTGTGGTCCTATGTCGATCCAGGCTAGAGAAGGTTTTAAGTACTTTTTCACTTTTATTGATGATTACTCGAGATATGGTACATTTATCTGTTGCACCGCAAGTCTGAATGCTTTGAGAAATTCAAGGAGTATCGGGCAATTGTGGAGAAGCTTCATGGTAAAAGTATTTAGTCACTTCGATTTGATCGAGGTGGCGAA